CTCTTTCCTGCCCATGGCAGGGGGTCAGGCTTGATGATCTGCTCAGGTCCCTTCCAACCCTACCAACTATGAAACTATTAAAGCCAGTATGTAATGCCAGCCAGTCTAAAACTAGGCTATACATAAGCCATCCCCAGCCCATATTCACCTACCATCTACACGGAAAAACCCTAAATTTGTTTTTCCTGCCCCCACACCCCCCTCAGCAGCTATCCAGCCAAATCCCAGGAGCTCAGTTAGAATGAGCATCATCCTATGCTGCTTTTCCTTGCAGCTTGCCAGCAGGCCTGGCACATTGCAAGCCCAGAGAGTCCACCAGCAACACTCCCACAGTTTCCTGTTCCTGACTTCCAGCCTTTCTACACCCTGTATTTTGTCTCTGCTCCCTATAATGAGTGCCAAGTACAGGAGAGCCAAGTAGTAGACAGACTGATTCCTAGATGGGTCCCCCTTGATGGACAGAAGGCACAAGGTGCAGGGACACAAGCTAAGATATAGATGGGGAAGAGTGGCTCATACCAACTGAGGTGGATCCAAAACAGCAGTATAGCCGTACATCTCCCTTCACTCCCCCAAAGCTGATAGCAAGTCTCAAAGGGTTCCCTTAAGGCAGTTGTGCTGAACCTCAGCTGTGATGAGTCAGCTGCCTCCCAGCTGAATGCTTTTATTCAAACCTTTTGAAGGTTCTGCATCACAAGAGAGTAGTGTTTAGTTCCACTTGTGGTTGATTTGCTACTTTTCAGATGCTGCCTCAGGGCTAGAAGTCATAGTTTGAAGAGTGTTTGGTCTTCATGGAAGTGAATAAGTATTTATCTGGGTTGGAGAACTTTAGGCAGCAGGTAAGTGTTTGTACTGGGGGGGAGAAACCAGGTATCAGGTGACTTCTAGCCAGATGGCTTGTGGAGCGAGGGCTGCAGATAGCAGATAAGTTTCTGAGGGTCTTGGAAACAGTGAGAAGGATAATGGAAACACCTGTAGGGGACTGTAGAGAAACTGTATTAATGTGTCTAAGACCTGGTTTTTTTACCAACAAATTGTGCCTGAAATGGATCCTTAAGTGACTGCTGAGCTAGTCTGCTAGCTGCACAGCCTCAGATCTTTCACAGCTTTTTGGTGTGCATGCACTTCTCTTTCCTGCCTGCTCCCTTTAGTCTCCAAGTGGTAGATTTGCTGAAAGCTGACATTCAGGAATAATTGGGTCGCCTCTGCTGTTTACTGGAAAGGCACACATGTTGGGGACTAGTGCACCCTAGTATTATGCAAAATGTGTTTTCAGCCAAGAGAACTCTCTGTTCTTCCTGGAGCAGCCTGATCTGTGGGTAGGTTGTCATGTCTGTGAATACTGCCTCTCCCTTGCCAGCACAGGCTAATACTTGTTAGCAGTCCTATCTCTGCCTTGTTTGCAGAATGAAACCCTGGGATGTTGCAGGTACCGGTAACTATAGATGGCAAATCCCTGGCATCCACCTGAAGCTTAATGAATGATGTTCCTTGCTAAGGGTAATTTTATGTAGATTATTTACTGAGAAGTAAATACTTTTTCTCCCTCCAAACTATGAAAAAAACTTTGTGTTAGACTAATAGCCCTCTGTCAAGGAGCACCCTGGATTCAACCTTCCCTCCCATTGGCTGGAGAGGGCCACATCATCAAGTGGAGATCTTTGTAGCACACTCTTTGCAGTGACTTGTGTGTAACCTGGGTGTACTCACCCTGTCCTTTAGCTCTAAGGAGGTTCCCACAAGGATGGCAACTGAGTTCCTTAAGGGTCCCTTACATCTGCATCTTCTCTATTTGACATTGCAGTCTCCATTGTGGAGATGACCTGAAAGTCACAGAGGAATGATAGCCTGGAGACTTGTGGTGCAGGGAACTTCTGCTTATGTACAGATCTTCAGAAATTCAGAACCAGGGTGCCACAGCACCCCAGGGCCCCGTAAGATCCTTTTTAAGGGTGCCATGGGGTGCTGTACAATACTAGGTGTGCCAACACTAGCAGTGATTCACAAGAATAACTCGGAGACTTCAAACAGGAATTCACAATGTTAAAAACATTCTGAACTTCTGTGGTTTTTCTGAGTTTTTTGTAACAGAAGAATTACTTTATTATTTTTTTTGTAGTCAAGAAATGAGTGAAAGCTAAGAGCTGGCATTTTCCAAGGGCAGTCTTGAGTCTAAAAAGGTTAAGAACCACCAGCATAGACCAAAGAATTAAACACACAAAAAGAAACATTTTCCATTAACTACGAGGGGAGACATTTTCAAAGACTTGACCAGCACTCATTTATTTTTCTGCTCCTGACGTATCACGAGGGTTCTGACTGGGGTGGCCATCATAGAGGACATTTCGGTTTTCTGCTACTCTGTCCTCTATTGATATGAAACCTTATGCCTTTATGTCCTCTATTTTTCTCTTGTACATGGAAGGCAAAATAAAATGAACACTCCTTCTCAAAAATAGAGGATGCCAAATAAAGGATGCTCTTCAAGAGAAAAATAGAAGACATAAAGGCATCCGGTTTTGTATCAATGATGGCCATCCTAGTTCTGGCAGATACCTTTCATAAAATGCAATACATATTTGTGCGTATTAAAAACCTCCAGCTGCCTCTCACTGTTCTCTTCATTGTACTTAAGCTGAGGTGTTCCAGAAGAAAATACAATAAAATGTTGAAAGCATATAAGGTACTAAGGTCTATATAAGGAACTTTTTGTTCTAAGGAAAAATGGCAGAAGAACTAGACTAGAGCCTCTGAGGAATTTTAAATGACAAGTAAAAATTCAGACAGAAATGTAAATTCCAAGCTAAAGTATGAACATACTTGGGAGAAAAGCATGTGAGCATAGGGCAGTGTTGGTGTACTGCTAAAAAAGGCTAAAGAGCCAGACTCAGATCAGTGTTTAGAATGGCTAAAGTACCAAATGGCCCTAACGGAGCCTGAGGTTGTCACTGGCAGACAGCTTGCAAACAAAAATAATCCTGCTGGATTAGAAAATCATGTTGGACTAATGGTGGGGGGAGGCTGTGAGTGATCATATAAAGGAATACATAAAAGCTAAACAAAACATCTAAAAAATATCCTTGGTGTCATGGAAAATGCAATCATTTCATGGAAATGACACTACGTATCTACAATGGGATGTTGTCTGTTAGGGGCTTTAGGGGCCTTTCCCCCTTGTACACAGAAGGCAAAACAAAATGATTATACTCCTCAAAAGCAGCTATAGACCTTGACTTTATTTTCCTAGAAGGCCAATGATAACTCCAGCACACAGAAGTAAAACCCAGCTAACAGAGGCAACAAAGCTTCCTGCAGCACACCGGGTTAAATAATCAAGGCTGTTCAACTTCTAAGCTCTCAGAAGCCATGTACATGCCTTAGGGGCCACACAGGGCAAGCCACAGGCCCTTCAAACCGCACACCACGTGGACTCCTTCCCACACTGTACCACTCAGCCCTGGCCTCACTTAGCTCCCATTGCTGTGCTGCCCTGCTGTGCCCTCTGAGATGGGACAGGAAATGGGAACTGGAGGATGGAGGGGAACCGAGAGACTCCATCTGTTGTCCCACTTGGATCAAGGGGGGAGGGTGGGGGTGAGAGTCCAGGGGATGCCAACTTAACCCCTTGCATGCTGCATTCAGCCCATGGACTGCCAGTTGGACAGTCCTGGGTTAGATTCTAGGTTAAACTAAGTCTAGGGTCCTGATTATGCGCTTCCCCAGAGCCTCCTAGTTTGTCAGCAAATCCTTAAAATGCAAAGTGATAGCACTTTTCCCTCCACATCACACTACACCCCAGTAAATTCCATAAATATCAACATCTATCTATCTATCTAAATCTCAGTTTTATCTGTATCTATACATTGCACCCACTTTTATTAATTTTTCAGGGGCTACACCTTGAGCAAAAACTAAAAAGATAATAAAATTCTGCTAGCCGTCAAAGACAGGCTCATTATCACTCCTTAACACTCTGTTAAACATGTCATTGCTTTCTACATCTGCTTTATTATAGCTTTTCCCCACTAAGTCCAGTAATTATATACCCATACAGCGTGCCCTTGGCAGAAAAACCTAGTAGAGGGAGGGAATGTGATTTAGTTCAAGTGCTCTCTCTCAGTTGAGTCTCAGTAGATCAAATTTAGTATTTAACTGGCATGTTTGAAATTACTCCACTGGGGTCATCAGAGTAGCAGTTTGACAGGTAGCAGAGCAAAGTGTCACCAGTTTTGGTGGGGCTTGTTTTTGTTTTTGTCCAGTGCTCACTTCAGCATGTGCATAAATGCTCTTCCAATCCTCCAAGGCTGGATGATTTAGTTGCTGACTTAATGTTTTCCCTAACTTTTTGCCATAGAAATATCTGAGACCCCTATGAAGTTAATTGTGGACCATTAGCTGAAACAAACCCCTTAGGTTACCCATATCGGGTAAACAGTTTCAAACATTTGATTGGCTTTTGAAGCCGACACTGGGATCATGTTTACCACTTCTGCATCAAACAAATCCTGCTGCCCCAGCAAAATCAATGTTCAGCCAGTGCTGGGGCTTCTTAGTCCATTCCCAGTGATGAGACACTGCTTTTCCTGCCATGTCGTGCTAATTATTAGAAGAGCTACACTGACTCCTCTACATTTCTGGCCACTAAAAAATGCCTACTGGCCATCCCTTTAACTTTTATTACTTACTGATGCTGTCCATGTACTTACCTAGTACTTTTCTCTGTAAATTTATTTGCTATTGTTACTTTTTGTCTCCACAGTAAACAACTAGGTGGCACTATGGCCCAGGTAATTCAGATGCCTGCCAGGACATCTTGGGTCCGTTTCCCATTGGTGCCCTGGTGGAGTGGCCTTGTGCACGCAGTCACATACCACTTGCCCTTTGAGGCCAGTGCAGATTCATTTCTATCTGCCTTAGCTATCCAAGAGGGCCTCAAAGGAAGAGGTCTGACGATCATTGGAGGGTGGACCAGTGGTTAGAGTTCTTGCTTGTGAAGTAAGAGATCCTTGTTTTGTGACAGATGGCCCAGGTTGGCTGTTGGTTTAGGAAGTCCTGCATCTCTTTAGGGATTTGGAGGAGATGATCCTTGCAGTCCTTTCTAGACCTTGGATTCTATGAACCATTTTCAACAGGTAACTCCAGTTTTCTATGACAGGGAGGCTGTAGTTTCATTGTATAGTTCATTGGATGCTACCAGAGTAATTTTCTGAGCGCTAATAGGTTGGCCACCTAGGAAAGAGACTCTGAGCATAGAATTTCCTTCTTTATGCTCCCCTTTGCCCTGACGGGCAACCAGGACAGTGCATTTGCATTGGCATATCTTCATGATGGTCTATAATAAACATCTTACTGGTAAACGTCTAGGATCAAAGCCATTTGCAGCCTGACTGTTGCCAGTAAAGGAAAGCCTGCCCTTAGCCGCAGTATTTTTACCAGTGCTTTCACAATCTATGAAGAGGGTACACTTTTTCTTTCCTCCCTTCCCTTCTAGGTACTTGTTGAATCAACTAAAAAAAATGATGCCCCCAAAAGCCTCTATTTTCATTCATGAGTCATTTCTCTCAGTCTCTGACAATGTTCTAGAAGGAAATACCAGAAAATTTTCACCCCATCTTTACATGTGTGTGAAGTGACTGCCCCAACTCCTATAGCAGAGCTGTGAGTGGTTCATGTGACTGATTAGTTCCAGCTCACTGGGATATGCTACCTTTTTTTGTTCTTAAAATGTTTATGAATCCTTATTTCCCTCTTCTGCCCAAACTCATTTAATATTTTTTTCTTCTGAACAGGATGCATACAGACTAATTAATGCTGGAAACATTGGAACACATCTTCCATG